TCGGGTCTGCGGCTCGTGCGGTCCGTGCTGGTTGTCTCCGGCGTGGCCCTCGTGACCGTGATGACTGGTGGGCGGACGGTGGTGGTGGACGGCGTCGTGCTGGAGCTCGTCGGCGGCGGTGTCGCGCTGGACGCGGCTGTGTTCGGTGGCGAATATGCGTTGTACGCGATTGCGCGCGTGGTGGCGTCGGAGGGCGCTGTGCTGCGCGTGTCTGGGAGCCAGGTGTACGCCGCGCATGGATTGGTGTTCGACAGCGGGGTGGAGGCCAACGCGTCCGCCGTCGTGGTGAATGACAACGCCGGTGTGCTGACGGATGGCGCGCTGCTGGTGCTGCGGGAGACGGTGTCGTTTTTGTCCGGGTCGTGGCTGTCGGTGCGCGGCAACAGCATCAGCGGCAGGCTCCTGTCGGTGCCTCCCAACCCGCGCAGTGTGGAATTTTTGCAGAGCACGCTGACGTTTCACAAGAACGCTGGCAGTGGGCCCGTCGTGATGGACGGCACCGTTGAGCTCGGGAGCGCCGGCCGAAGGTTCGTCGTGGGGTGCCTGACGCTCAACGGGCAGGCGCTGCAGCCGATCAACTACAGGTCCGCCGGCATCATCGGGAAAGTTCGCCCCGTGGCGTGCAGCGTGTGCGACGCCGACGTGAGCTGCTTTGCTGCTGCGACGAGGGCGATGTCGGAGTCGTGCGGCTGCCGCTGTGCTGAGGGCGGGTACGGGCGCGACTGCCTGCCGGTGTACCTGCCGCGCGTAGACGGGTGCAACCGCACGCCCGAGAAACCGCTGCTGAGCCACACGGCGACGCTGACGGCGACGCGCAGCCTGACACAAACGTGGACGCCAACAGCGCCAACAACGAGCCTGAGCGCGACGCGCTACAGTCCGACGAACTACGGACCGACGGAGACGCCGCAGGTGACGGAAACGGAGACGCTGCTGCCCACGCCGATCCCGGCAGCGTCGGCTACGGCGACGGAGCCGCCGACCGCGACAATGACGGCATCGGAGTCACTGCCGACCCCGGCAGCGTCGGTTACGGCGACGGAGCCGCCGACCGCGACAATGACGGCATCGGAGTCACTGCCGACCCCGGCAGCGTCGGTTACGGCGACGGAGCTGCCGACCGCGACAATGACGGCATCGGAGTCACTGAGCATGAGCCTGTCGGTGAGCAGCACGCCGTGGTGGAGCGACGTGGCGTGCCCGACACTCACCATGACGACGACGGCGGCTGGTGGTAGCCTGACGCAGAACGACATCCGCGGCGGTGGGAGCGCCGTCCCGACATGGCTGATGGTGGCGCTGCCGCCGCCGTTCCGGTGGGCACGCGACCCGCAGCTCGGCACGCACCTGAGCTTCGTGCCGGTGTCGACGGTGCAGCCGACCGGCTTTGGTGGTCCGTGGGGAGCGATGCTGAGCAACGCGACGTGGGAGCGCAACGCGACGAATCCGTCTACCGTCCTGGAGCTGGCTGTGCCCGTGCACCGCAGTTACTTCATTGGTGCCGACGAGACGATAGTCATTCGCTGCGACGCTGTGGCGGTGTTTGGCGGCTGCAACGGTGCGCTACTTGGGTCTTTCACCATCGCGTCCAACACGCCGCCCGCCGTTGCCAGCGCCCTCTCGGCGATCACCGGCGTTGTTGCGGGTGCGACGGCTGTTGCCGTGGTGGTGACCGGCGGGCTGGGCTCCATCCTGGAGATGCAGGCACTCGGCGTGTTTGCGAAAATGTCATGCGCCTCGGCGCAGGAGCGTGCGAGCACCGTTGCGCTGCCGTACTTCCTGTCGGTGTTCGCTGCCCTTGACCCGCTGTGGATGGTGGTGGGCAACGCGCTGCTCGCTGCTGTGTTCGGGTGCGTGCACTACGGTGTGACGTCGGCCTTCCAGCGGTGGCGCGGCGTGGACGCGGCGAGTGCGTGGGCGGCGATGCGCTTCCCGAGCCTGACGTACGTCGTGGCGCACGCGATGCACCTCGGCATCTTCTTCGGCTCCGTGTTCGCACTGGCGATGCCCGGCGCCCGCGTGCAGCACTACGTGATCGGTGTCGTTGGCGTGCTGTACGGTGTGGCGTTCCCCGCTGGCGTGTGCTACTTGATTGCCCGCCACACGGGCGCGAGCTTTACGAAGTACTGGCAGTTTTCGAGGAAGCCGCTGCACGAGCGCCTGCTGTACCCCGTCGGGTATTGGCACCCCGCGGCGCAGCAGCGGATGTACGGCGGCATGCTGACGAACATGAAGGGCAGCTACGTGTACTGGTGCGTGTTCCAGCTGTCGGTGCTGTGTGTGGTGGGCCTGATTGCGGCTGTGCACCCGCCCGTGGGAGTCTGCCACGTCCTGTACTTCTGCATGGCTGCTGTGCTGCTTGCGGGTGCGGGCGTGGTTGCCTTCACGAACATGATGCGCTCGGCCTTTCTGACGGTGATGCGCACGGCGAGCTTTGTGCTGCTTGCGGCGCTGTGCCTGACCAGCGCGGTCAACCATCTTGCGCCCAGCGACGGCGGAGCGAGGGCGTACGCAGCATTTCTGATGCTGCTGACCTCTGTGCTGCTTGCGGCCACTGTGTACTGTGCGGTTTTGTGGTACGTGGAGGACCACCACTGGCAGGAACTGCGCGAGCCACAGCGTGGCGAGCTGGATGCGCTGCTGCACGATGACGAGGAGAGCGACGAAGAGTTGCGGAAGCACCACGACAGGACATCATCATCGTACGCTTCACGCACCGCCGGCGCGTCGTCGTACCGACCACCCGCACCGCCGCAGTGGGAGCGCATAATTGGTAGCAACGACCGCAACCCAGATACCATTGACCGTCAGCCGCAGCCACTGGCAGTCGACACCCACTCCAACGCATTAAGCTTCCTGGACCGTGCATCAACTACACGCGGAAGCGTGAATCACGCTATCCTGTGACATGCGCCACGTGAAATTTGTGTGCGGTGCTGGCCGATGGGGGGAGATGGCGCGGGGCCACGGCTGCTGCGCACCACGGCCAGTCATTGTATGGCGCACCGACAGTGTCGTTCATTTTTGTTTTCATTGGTGCTTTTCTATTGTCTTTCTTTTCTGCCAGTGTTCATTTGATTGTCTTGTAATTTCCAGCGATTGTATGAGATTTTGTCCATAATTTTATTTTATCTTTTCTAGTTTACACCAAATTTACAGTGTTTGTTTTGTAATTCTTTCTCGTTTCTCTTGTCACTCTGTGATCCGCCACCACCAGCAGCCGCTGCGTGTATATCGCTGCGTGGAAGTGGCGGGTGTGCGGTGCTGGCCGATGGGGGGAGATGGCGCGGGGCCACGGCTGCTGCGCACCACGGCCAGTCATTGTATGGCGCACCGACAGTGTCGTTTATTTTTGTTTTCATTGGTTCTTGTCTATTAATTCTTTTCTGCCAGTGTTCATTTGATTGTCTTGTAATTTCCAGCGATTGTGTGGGAGGCTACGCGTTTGTGGCTTGGCTGCTGCAGAAGTGCGCGCTTGGGTGTTGGAGCCCGCTGCATGCATTTTTTTTTTTTCGTGTGGCATCAGGTGGTGTGTGCTGTCCCGAAGTCCTGCCTCTCTCCTCCTGCCTGTTTGTTTTCCGTCCGCTGTGGCACTGCGGTGCACGGGCGAAGTAGTCGTCTGGATTCTTTTGTGATGCATCGCATCTCACGCTTTGCTGCGCAGTTGGTCATGGAGGACGAAGTTGTGCCACGACGCGTGGGGATGATGCCAGCCGCACAGAGCGCAAGGAGGACGTTGTGACGCCGTGGGGTGTTGCCGCCACGGGCCCGAGGGGTGTGGACTATGACCGCGTCCTCGCACTATTCGGGTCGGAGCCCGTTGATGAGCCCCTTCTGCAGCGGCTGGAGGAAACATGCAACGGACGGGGGGAGCACGCGCAGGCAACCAGCACCGCACAAGAGGAGGCGGGACGAATGGCATTGCTCCATTTTTCCGCCGCGGCATTGTCTTCTCCCACAGGGATTTTGGAACCGCCCTTGACTGCGTGCGTGCGTCCTTTGCGACGGGGACACACCGCGCGTACTTGTACACTGGCCGTGGACCGAGCGCGCAGTCGATGCACATTGGCCATGTCATACCGTTTTTATTGACGCGGTACCTGCAGGATGCGCTCGGTCTTCCGTTGGTGATTCAGATAACCGATGATGAGAAGCACTTCTTCCGCGACATTCCCGTCAGCGGGGAGAGGGCGAGCGGGTTGGTGGTGGAGAACATAAAAGACATCATTGCCTTTGGCTTCGATCCACGCAAGACATTTATATTCCGCAACACGGTGCACATGGGGGACATGTACCCAACTGTCGTGCAGGTGCAGCGCATGTTGACGCTGAGCGCTGTGAAGAATACATTTGGCCTGAAGGATAGCGACAATGTTGGAAAGGCAGCCTTTCCAGCGGTGCACGCCGCGCCGTGTTTTAGCAGTGCCTTCCCCCGTGTGCTACGACGGCTAGCTGGGGACCCGCCGCTGAAGTGCATCATTCCCTGTGCAATTGATCAGGACCCTTTTTTCCTCCTGGCACGCAACGTCGCGCCGCGTATGAAGTGCTGCGCCCCCGCACTGCTGCACACAAAGTTCCTCCCCGCACTGAAGGGAGCGCAGTTCAAGATGAGCAGCAGCGCCGAGGGGAACGGAGTCATCACACTACACGACACGGAGCAGGAGGTGCGGAAGAAGGTGCGCAAGGCCTTCTCTGGTGGGGGTGGCACGTTGGAGGACATGCGTGCGGAGGGTGTCAACCTGCACGCAGACGTGGCGTACCAACTCATTCGGTTCTTCTGCCCCGACGACAATCTCCTCGCGGAGGTGACGTCGAAGTACAGCAGGGGTGAGATGAACAGCGCCGAGGTAAAGGAACTCGCCGCGGATGTCGTTGTGCGGCACTTCTTGTCGGGGTGGCAGGCGCGGCGGGCTGGCGTCACAGATGCCGACGTGGAACAGTTCTCCGGCATCCGCAGCATTCTTCTGTGAATGCCGGCAGGAGGGAGGAAGGGATGATGGGGGAGAGAGGGCGCACATGCAACGGGAGTGGTGTGGCTGACTGTGGTGTCCGTGAAGATGATGCATTTAGGTGGGGGCGTGCTGGTTGTTGTGGTACCCACCGCGTATATTTGTTTGCTGTGGCTTCTGCTGGACTGCACGTGAACGCCTGGTGTTCCCCTTGCAGTTGTACAACAAGTATTTTAGACCAACAGTAGATAGGGGACTATTAGGCTGCAATGGGGCGGGGGCCGCACCACGATGGCACGTGCCACGGGAAGGAGGGCCGCGGGGTTTTCCGAGGGAGAAGGGGTGCGACACGACCTTACGAAAACGTTGATGGGTGCGGCATTTGCTGCGGGGATTGTTCAGGAGATGTAGCGGACGCTTCTGCCGCCAGGGGCTATGCCACTCGGGCACGTGACGCGCTGCGGTTCCCAAACGTGTGGTGAGCGTCTGGCGAGACACGTTGCGTGCGCTGCCGGAGGGAAGGGCCGCTGCTCTGCAAGACTATTTGAGCACTACGGGGCGCACCGCATGCTTTGATGGTATTCTGCGGGAATGTGGACACCTCGTCGACCACGGGCCCCGTGAGACACTGAGGTTCTACGCCGTTACCTGCCGTGGTGCGACCCCGCATGAAGGCCTCTGTGCCGATCCCGCGAGCAGCATGGCGGCACTGCAGTCCTTCGGTCTTGACGTTGTGACGCCGCAACCGGCAGTAGAGCTGGGGACAGACGAATACGCAGCCCTGCGAGACGGCATGGCGCGTCGTCTTAACCGTGAGGGTGCGGTGGTGAACGGCTGCAACGAGGCGGGGGTTGTTGTGCGGATGTGGAGGCAGCGGTCCCACGCATACGCAATGGAGCGTGCGGCGCAGGAGGCCATCGTCACGCACCGTTTGTGCGGTGTGGCGCTCCGCTCGAGGCTCGCAGGCAAGCTCGCCGGGCTGCCAGAGGAGGTGCGCCGGTGCCTCGGCGACTGGGAAGCGGAACGCCTCGAATATCTTGTGCGGTTTGCAGCGTGGCTGCATGTGACGGGGCGGCAAACGGCGCGAACGGACCTCAGCGGGCTGCAAGACCTGCGCCGCCGATGGATCACGCTGCAAGTCCACTTCACGCAGTGTGTCGCCGCCGATGCGCACGTGCGGTCCCAAGTGAAGCACTGCGAGCCGTCCGGTGACGACGCCGTCACCAGCGACCCCGACGCTGTCGTCTGCGTTGGTCCGCAGGGCTGCGGCAAGTCCACATTCTCCCGCACCCTGTACGCTCCGCTGCGCCAGGCAGGGCTTTCGCCATGCTGGATCAACCAAGACGAGGCCGGGGGAAGGCGGCAGTTTCTTGACGCCATTCGGCGCGCGCAGCGAGGGGCCACACGCACCTAACATCGACAA